TAATATTTCCATTGGCAACAGGGTTATTAATCAGAGGGCACAATCTTCAGCAGGACAAAAGATGAGATAGGGGCTTAGCTGGGTGTGGGAGAACAGTAAGGGGGGGGAAATGAGAATTTTTTTTGCTAAGCAGTAAGTAGTTATGATGTAGAATGCACTGCCTAAATGATGTTGAAAACAGGTTCAGTAACAACTGTCAAAACAGAATTGGATTAATGGTTATGGGTGAAATATGAAAGGGTACAGTGAAAGAGCAGGGAGTGGAGTGTGTTGAACAACGCTTTCAAAGAGCCAGCAGAGGGAATAAATGTCTATCTTGTAAGATTTTACATGGAGAGCTAATGTTTGAGGTGGGGAGAATTGGATCACATTGGCAATTCAGTGTTGTAATCAATGAGACTGGCCTTTCACAATCTCAGAATGTCCAAAACTGATCTCACAGCCAATGAAGTATAGTTGCATTTGAAATATAGAGAATCTCAGGAGCCAGCTGGCACCACAGACACTGCTCTGGAAGTATCAGCCTAGATTTAATGCCAGGCTTAAGTGGTTTGAACCTACAACCTTCTGAGTCAGAGGCTAGAGTAACTACCCACTGATGCCCAGCAAAATAAACCAAAAACATGTAGATTGCTCATTGGGTTGGCATGTTAAGAATTGCGGGTCACTGCACAGTGAACAAGACAAAAATTGACATTGAACCATGTTAAGGAGGTATTGATTGAACAGATAGTTTTTAAGTAGGCAGTCTTGAAGAAGGAGTACAAAGGCAGAGAGGTCTAACCAGGGATTCCAGAGCTTAGGGCAAAGATTACTGAAGGTACAGTTACTAGTGAAGTACAAGGTGAAAGAATTGGAAGAGCTCAAGAGAAGGTTACAGTTCTATCATTTTCCTGTTTGTATTCACAGGGGCATTATGGTTGGGGCAAAGTTGGGGTGGGGGGGAGGAGGAGGAGGGGTTGTGTGGTAGAAAACACTTGGTTCTGAGGCAGGCACAGGTGTGGGATTTCTCAGGAAAATGTGCTTGTAAATGCTGTCCCCTTTCTGATATCTTTGATTGGATGGGAGTTCTCTAGAAATGGGTTTAACAGTGAGGGACAACAGACATTGCATGAGAAAGATAAGTGTTTAAAAAACAGTTAACCAACAGAAGATTTGTTTCCCACATCTCTTATTCGGAGTGGGAATCCCAGCTGGCATTTCAGTCACCTGTTTGGCAATAACTATTCACATTCAATTAGGTCATCTCATGACTGAAACTGTCAAACTGCCTTGGGGCCACAGGTACACAAATCTTCTAAACTAGAAAAAATGGTTCCTTTGTCTCAGGCTGTTCCCAGTTCATCCCTTCATTTAATTACACACACACAAGCTAGAAAACCAGAGACAACAGGTGTAAGGAAATACCACCACCTCTCTATTCCTTTCAGATGATCCCCCTCCAAAAGAGTCCAGTGAGATTACAATGGTGCCGAAGGATTATCCCACCTCTTCCACCTAAAACTAGAACAGAGCCTGCCAGTTAGTTGTCGATTAACATTAATGGGTGCATTCTCCATAGCAATGGTGTACTAATAAGCACTCCTCTCAAGCAGTATCTAAATGTTGGTTTTCTCCTTCAATGGACGTACATGTAAATAGTCCTGCAGTGCACAAGACAAAACATATCTCTTCAACTATACTGAAGAACGGAATTTTACTTTCTCCATTATTTTTAATCCTTGCATGGGATTCTGGAATTGATGGCAAGGCTACAGTGTATTGCCCATCCCCAAATAACTTCCAGAAACTAGTGGTGAGGCACCTTTTCAAACCATTGGAGTCCAAATGGTGTATGTATGTGTTCTGTGCTGTTAGGGAGAGAAATCCAGTTTCCGGGAATTCTGAGGTTTTGCTCCAGCGACTGTAAAGGAATGGCAATGTAATTCCAAATCAGCATAATGCTCAGTTTGGAAGGAAGCTAGTTGTTTCCAAGTTTCTGCCACCCTTGATCTCTGAGCGGTAGAGGCCACAGGTTTGGAAAGTGCAGTTGAAGGAAGTTTGACCAGTTCTTGCAGAGCCTAATCTATGTTGGATGGAGCGAATGTTTACGTTGGTGGATAAGATGCCAATGAATTTTTATCTTGAATAGTGTTGAGCTTATGTTTAGTTGATGCTACACCCATCCAGGCAAGTGGAGATTATTCCATTTGTATTCCTGACTTGTGCTTTGTAGATTATGTGGTCAAATTCTGGGGAGACAGGAGGTGAGTTGCTTGCTGCAGAATAGTCTCTGACCTGCTCTTGTAGCCATGTATTCCATTCAGGAAAGTGTAACTGGTATGACCTGCCTTCTAGTAGCTAACAGGATGGCATGGCACCAGTATCAATGGCCTGGATGTGCAAATGCATGGGAACAGCCTCATTCCGAAAAAGGGATTATTGGAGTCACTGACCTTGCTGCAAATTTTAGGAACAGACGACCTTCTGGAAATGTTCTTCCCCACCCTATTTCACATTTATGTTTCTGCCCTGAAACAGCCAACACTTTGGAGCTGCAGCATGTCTGCTGACATCAGGTCAACAATGGGGCAGTCTGAATGATCCAGTCACCTGCACTGTCCACATAGGCCAACCTTCTTCTGTTTATGCTGGTGCCCATTTATCAGCCCCGCCTCTGCTCTGACAGCATTGACAGACAACAATATAGTACAAGGCTGAGGTGACATGTCTGTCAAACCAGTGCTGTAGGTGGCCAGATGACCTCTCTGCTAGCCAAACAATCGATGAGCCCAACTGCTTATTCAGTAGTGCTTTCTAAAAAAAAAACTGTTGACAAATTGCTAGATGATTGCTGAATTTTAATCAACCCTGAAATGTACCTGCAGCCAACAGGGGACAGGAATCAGGAGGATAATCGCCTAGTTGATTCCCTCCCTCCACTGCTCTCCTGGACCAGAGAAGATTAAGGGGAGGTTTAGCAGAGGTCTTCCAAATAATGTAAGGTTCTGACAACTTTCTACTGGCAGGAAAGCCTGGAGGGCAGTTTCAAAAGGTGATGAACAAAGAGCCAGAAGGGAGTTGAGGATGGTTATTTTCATGTAGTTGATTATAATCAGGAACGAGCTGTGGGAAACACTGGCTGAGTACTTCAAGGAGAAAAACTGCCAGGGAGCCATAGCAAAAGATCATGGGAGTGGGACATGCCTGGCGCCTCAAATGAGCTGGCACAGGCACGATGGGCAGTACAGCCACACCTACACTGCATTATTTCAGTGCATGTTCCTATTGTCATCTTAGCCAGTCTAGCTCTGCACTTTTACCATCCATAAGATGGAATTTCTTTAACCAAGTTAGGCACAGAGGGCAGCCTCTCTTTCATAGGACATTACATCACTGGTAAGGCCAGCATGTGTCACCCATCAAAATAAAAACCAAAAGAACTGCGGATGCTGTAAATCAGGAACAAAAACAAAGTTGCTGGAAAAGCTCAGCAGGTCTAGCAGCATCTG